AAGGGTAACCGTAGATGACACTGGTAGGGAAGATGGAGAGCTATGGCTGCAAGAAACAGCAGCATCTCATCTGAGCCCCAGGTGAGTTCAGCAGCTCCAGCAGCTGTGGATTTCTCCCAGTTTTCTTGCTTCCCTTCTTGGGGATCCCCAGTGCTGGATTACAAACCAGAGCCCAGTGAAACTTGAACCTCAGGGCCATTACACAGCTTGGACAGAAAGGGGAACCCCATCCAGGATAGCTTAGATCTCTGTTGTTTGGGGCACTTTTCAGGGAGATAGGGGATCTGTATTTAAACCACTTAAGCCAACAAGAGAATTAAACTGTTCTCCACTTTTTGACCATTAGGCTGATCCATAAAGATGCGAAAATTTGAAATGCAGCTAGAGAACTGTCCTGGGTTCAGCTGCAACAGTTATTTTTCTCCTTCCCAGTAGCTGGTGCAGTGCTGTGTTTTGGTTTTAGTCTGAGAACAACGCTGATAACACATTGATGTTTTAGTTGTTGCTAAGTAGCACCTACCCTGGTCAAGGACTTTCGGTTAGTGAGGAGGGGCATGAGAAGCCATGAGGAAGCAGAGACAGGACACCTGACCCAAACTGGCCAAAGGGGTATTCCATAGCACAGCACGTCATGCCCAGTATAGAAACTGGGGGGAGTCACTGCTGCATTTTTCAGAAAGCACAGGCCTCTGATGTTCTGTGCCCTCTGTTAGGAAGAGGCACTGAAGCCCCTCAGCTCTGGGGCTTGGCTGAAGGAGTGCTCGCTCTTTCTGTGTGGTTAAATGTTCATGGGAGGTAAGTGCATAGTCATGCAGAACCATTTATGTGAAGAAAGCCGGTTTCAGCACATGGAAAAAAATTAAGTGTTTATCTTCATAGGCCATTATAAACATCTCTGTTTTTTCCAGGAGGGGGGAAAAAAAAAAAAGAAAAAAGAAAAAAAGGCACTAACTGTGCTTATAATTTGAATATTAAAGAAATCTTTCATAAAAGGGCTATACTGAAATTGCTGATGAAAGCTACTAGCGGCCCACAGTGGTAGCTCATACCATGCCAAAACCCAACCCCGAATTCTCAGCTGTACCACGTACCCCCACTTCTGGTACAAGACTAGGACGGACTGGGTGCACACGAATGCAGTTAGGAGGGAGCTTTGTCCCTCACTGAAAAAGCAGACGAAACCTCGTCTGCACTGAGGTTTCTCCTCTACTGTAGGCAGTGGGGCTTGCTCGGGCAACCCCGATACCCGGGCCGGGGGAGTCATCCGCGAGTAGGTGGGAAGGCACCAACGCTTTCTCCTCCGCACCCCAGGCAGCTGGACGCAGCTACCCCGCTGTTGGGTTGCTGATTAGGTTCCCCCGCTCGTCTCAGAACAGCCGGAAAAGGGAAGCTTTGGGCGGTGCGGTGTGTTGCTCCCTCGCCTCCCCTTCCGCAGCCCGCTCCGCCCCGGGCAGCTGTGAAGCGCGGCGGCCGGGCAGGTGGGTGCTGTCCGCTTACCCTCCGCAGCGGGGCAGAGGGGCTTAGTGCGCGTCCCGCCCCGCCACCCTCAGGGCTGCATTCCCAACAAATCGGGTTTCAGCTCTTGGACTCGGTTTGGGGCTTAGGCATTAATTAGGCCTTGCGTGTAGAAAAGCTTCTATGGCAAAACGCTATGGTTTTGGGCTTTGAGATACTGATCCTCACCCTAATTTCTTTTCCAGTTTTCGGCATGGCAGTGGACTGGCTCGGCTTTGGTTATGCCGCTCTGGTGGCATCAGGAGGGGTCATTGGCTACGCAAAAGCAGGTACGGTGTGGGAAGGTGCTTGTATCTCCCTCTCTCTCCCTCCTCTCCTTGACTTCCCCAGTAACTTTGTGTGAGCTGGGCGGCTTTTTACCAAAGTGTCCTATCTCGAAGTTAACGCACATGTAAAGTTTATCAGTTTGTGCCATGTGTTGATAACTTGTTGTTGTTAGGGTGTGGTGGTTTTTGGCTTTAGCTGGTGCTTTGGGCTGATAAGCCAACAATCTGCTTTCTGGTAGATGCTGGTATCCTGCCTCTGCAATACGCTCTTTGGGCAAGCTGACATAAATTTGCTTAAGAAAAGCTTTTCCCTGCCACTTTAAATATAATAAGCATTGAATTATAAATGTTCTGGATGGCTTAAATTACTGGGTTTTTTTCCCTTAGAGATTTAATCACGTTTTAATGTTTGATGATAACAGTTTACTGTAAGCTGCAGCGTTTTCAGAAGGATCCTTTCTCCAAATAGAGCTCAACAATGCAAATCAGTCCTTAAACTGGTTCCTTTTCTGGGCTCTGCATCATAAGATTGCCCTCTGACCTACTGCTTTCCTTTCCTGTCCTTTTTCTGAGTTTGCCCTCCTCCAGACAGAACTGTGGATTCATCCCTGCTCCAATACTGCCTCTTCAGCTTTGAAAATCCCTTATCATCTGGTCCCAGATGGGACGACATGGTCATGCTGGTGCAAGGGAATCCAGATCATGGGATTTTTGAAGGAGGAACAAGAACATGTATGGTGACCTGTAGGGATTAAACAAAACAAAAAAAAAAAAAAAACCAAACAAAAAAAAAAACCACCCGAACAAAAAAATCCAAACCAACTATTGTTTCCCTAGTAATAACTTGGAGAAACCCCTACAGGAATGGAACCTTCATCCATAAAGTGGTGATATGTTCTTTTACCGGAACATCTATTTACCCACACAGATGGTGGTCAGTAGTAGGTGCTTTGGGAAGAATATGAGAACAGGGTGAACAAAGATTGATTGATTTTCCTCTCTTCATTTAGTCAATTCTCTGTGTCCCGGTGTTTTGAGACTCAGGAACTTCCTGAGCCAAAGGTAATGAGGCTGTCCTAGTGAAGTGTACATGTCATAACTGCTTAAACAATGCCTTGAGTTAAAATTCAAGGGTATGATGGCTATTTCTTGGCTCCCAGGCTTGTGGAAAGAATTGTAACTACAACATTTTGCTTGGTAAACTGTATTCTGTGCAGAACAGTCACTTACTAGAGTGTGCATCTTGTAATGTACAAGAATATCTGGTGCTTTCTATCATCTTTATCCCTTGCTTTTTATACAAAAAAGGATCTGAAGCAATGTCACAGTTACCTTGTTGACGACTGAAAAATGTTTACTTTCTGGGAGCGATATGCAGACCTCCTGTAACATTTATCAGCTTAGCTTTGCAATCTTGATTCTTTTAAAGGACTTCTTAAAGTCTTTTAAATGGAATATATAAAAAACCACCCTCAGTAGCATTAAGTCCTGAATTTTCCATTATCCTTACTGAGAGCGTTCACCACTCTCAGTGGTCATACCACTTCATTACTTGATGTAAGCTTTAAATCACCAATTTGAATGTGGTATCCTTTATCTAATGGTGTCTTGGGATTATTATTTATACTGAGGACTTGGTCCAAAGTTTAGGTGGGTCCAGAGAACCTTCTTCTAAAATCTGCAGTTACCTTTGGATCAGTCCTCATGTGTTTTTTAAGAGCTATGACCTCCCTCATTCGACTCCACTCTCTTTCTCAGCAACGCTTTTTGTTTGAATGCCCTCCTACCCAGTTCAGTCCACGTGCCTTTTTTTCTGATCTTAAACCTTTACTATTTAATCCGTCTACTTTACTGCCTCTCAAGAAATTCTGATATTACTGTGTTGAAACAACATGCTTCAGTTTGCACAAATAAAACGGTGGTTCTTCCAGTTTTCTCACTATTCTTTTCTTCATAAATATATTAATGGCTTTGCTGTTAAAGAATTAAATACTAATACTATTTGTATCTTATGAAATTTGCACATGCTTCTGGGTGCAGATCAGCATGGTCTTAATATCTTAAAAGAAAAAAAATCCTCTCTAATCTGCTTTATTACAGTGAATGCCATTTTTTGTTTTTTCTGTTATTGTTGGTGTTTTACTAAACAGATAAGCCGATGAGCAAGTTTATTTCTAAGCTTCTAATAAATGCATTATCTTACTCAGGTAGTGTCCCATCACTAGCTGCTGGCCTTCTGTTTGGAAGTTTGGCTGGACTGGGCGCCTATCAGCTCTCACAGAATCCAAATAATGTTTGGATTTCTCTCCGTAAGTTGTTTAAAATTTTAATTAGAAGGGATTTTATTTATCCTTAAATAAAATGAGTTCCTAAAAGCATTCTCAGAAGAGTTAAACTGATGGCGTTATAAACCTAGTTTCAGTCCAATCTTTAGACTTGTGGGTTTGTGAAAAATCTCCATTAGTGGCCAAACTCCACTGCTCTTCCTGGAATGTGAGCTGGTAATGTTACATATTTTTTTAAGGCATATGTTGAGAAGGTGTATTAAAAAATGCTTGTCTTGGTGTTTCTTGCTCAGTGATTTCTCACTACATTACTGCATCCCTTTTACAAGGAGTATAAAGTGCTTTGGGTGATAGTTCAAACTTACATTCTTGTTCCTTTTCTACAGGAAAAAACTAAAGAGGAAATACTTGTTATTTATCATTAGAGTTTGTCTTCTGAATGTCAAAAAACCTAGAGGTTATGAAAGAGAATGTGTGCTAGGATGAAGTGAAACTTAGGTGTTTTGAAAATAATAATCAAACCAAATACCACTATTTCACATCCTTTAGCAAAGTAAGTCAAATAACCATTTTGTGTTTAAAAACTTGTATGTAGTACAGTGCGAATCTCCAAAATTTTGTCTTTCTGCAGTTTACCATATAGAACTCAGGGTTGTGATCAAGTTAGGACAGATTATCATCTGTCACTTTAACCTGTGTGTGTCTAAAGCTCACGCCGGTTGCAAAATGACATGCCTTGAACTTTTCTCATTCACTGATAAGTTAGGGTACCTTGCAATTAAAGTGGGCTGAGAAAATACATGTAGCGAATTCCCGTGGCTCAGATGGTGCCTGACACTTGTTAGGCTGCTGTATCTCTGGCCAGTATTTGTGTTAGTAGTATCCTCTCCATTCATGATCTGTAGAAGACATCAGTGTGTGACGGTTCTCTAGCACTAGCTATGTTTCATTCCCCAGGCTTTGCTGAACTGGTGGCTGCCACCAGGCATCTGTCTTGTACTGGCATGTTTGAAGGATCACTGTACAAAGGAAGTGCTAGTAAATTGATTTGACCTTTGTGTGTCTTCTTTTTGGCTGGATCCTACTTTCAGCATTCTGCAGGAGGCTGGAGCATTTCAGGAAGTGTGATTCTCCTGCAGACTGCCTATACCCCTAGCAGGTTATTTTATTACTGAGGAAAATGGCGGAGATTGTGATTGACTTATTTTTATGTGACAAATATGTGGAATTACAAAGGTGTTGCACACCTGGGGAGATTTAACAGAGAAGCAAGCTTCAGTAATGCCATTTCTCCTTCCTCCTTGGGAATGGAGCTTCCTTTCTCCCTGACATGGAGAAGCTAACTATGGAGAGTCACTGTTTAGTGCTTGGAGAGCTGCTACAGACTATAGCATTTGTTCACTGAAGCAGTTGACCTAGTATCCAGCTCTTCGGTACGTGAAAGTCAGAAGTGAAAGAGAAAGGCCGAGCATTTCTTTTCACTTAAGCATTGTCTGCAATGCAATCCACACTTCCACATCTACTGGATAAGTCAAAAGCTGTGCATGATCAAGCCTAAATAATTGGAATAAGCTGCGCAGATACAGCAAGCTTAAGAGAAATGAGAAGGTATTTTCCCAAATGTGAGACAGTCAGAAACATTTCTGTAATTCAGTAGTATATGGAACGTTCCTTCTTTTTGTGCTTAAAGTTTTTTGAGAAGGTGTATTCTGCTTCTGTTTCAGACAAAATTACATTTAGTGAGGTGCGCATACTGATTAGAGGTTACATTACATTTAGTGAGGTGGCTACTGATTAGAGCTTGAGGCATTTGAGTACTGTAATACTTTAGTTCTTTGTTGTCCCAGTCTCTTACATATCTCCTTATATGAGATTGCTAGATGTCAGTGAGAATATTTAGGGTGGTGTTATGGAGAAAGAATGCCATGGTTGGGATTTGATATGAGCTGGGTCCTGCAGGACCAGTCACTACATAGAAGCAATTGTAGAAGATGAGAGTGGTTGGAACAACATGTTGTGTGTAGCTGTTGCCACTGGGTAGCAGATGTGCGCTAAGACTAAGGATTACAGTGGTATGTTTTCCCTATAGTTTTCTTAGTATTCAGTCTCTCTCTGAGATACTGCGTTCAGGGATTGCTGTTTCTATTTTACTGACTCGGTGAAACTACCTGGCTCCTGTGTCTCTGTCAAGTGGTCAGGATACCGTTAACTCTCTGATTTTAGTGGAAGGTTGTACAAAGGCTGAAATGGATTGCTAATACATAGCAGTTACATAGCACAGTTCCCTTCTGAAGTCTTTTGCAAGCATAAATCAGTTAATTCTCTGAACATTACTACAAGTTAGATACAAAAATGCTCTCTACCTTTTACAAGAAGAGAGGGAATTGTGTGCACATGTCTAGTGGTTCACCTGCACAGAGGGAAGGAGTAAGTTCTAGAGCAATGTGGCATAGTTTTTTTGTAGTCTCCAAAGAAGCACATTTTGACAAAGAAACTTGAGGAGCATGTGTAGAAGCATCTGGAGTGCACTGTCTGCTAGAACTTAATTCAGAATATTTACTCTTCACATACTGAGGCATTCCAAAGTTTATTGACTCTTCTAGTCTATCACATGGAACAACCCCGTTTCACTTCTTACTTCTCTCTATTCTATTAGTTCTGAATTTTAGCATCTCTCACACACATGCATCTCTGCCTGACTGGACTGTATAATCTCTCATTTAAGTTACATCTGGAACACTGACTGCCGTCATGGGAACAAGATTTTACAACTCCGGAAAATTCATGCCTGCAGGGCTAATTGCTGGTGTCAGGTACAACGCACTTTTTTTAATGTCCTATGTGTGATTTCTTATCTACATAATTAAACAGAGATGGAGTGAATAATATTTTGTGAATCTTTTCTGTTTCCATGCATCAGTTACATGGGAAGTATTTGAAAATTAATTAATATTATTATTATTGTTTAATTATGTGGGTTTTTTTCCCTCCCTTAACAGTTTGCTAATGGTTGGAAGATTAGCGCTGAAGATGGTGGAAAAGACCCACGATAAGTAACTGTTGATTTTAAAGTTTAATATCTGAATAAAGAAATCTGATACTGAAGTTGCATGAACACAGAAGCAAGAAGATGGAACAATTTTCTCTATCAAGGCAATTTTTTCTTTTTGTTATACAAGGGGAGAGTAGGATGATGAGACAGTTTACGTACAAGGTGCCATTTGTTTCAATGATCTGGTAGAGCTATTATTGTGTAGTGAGAAACTGGTCCTGGGTTTGATCTTTCCAGATACAGTTCAGTGTATTTTAACACTCCTAGTTTTTATATTCCAGAAGATACTGTGTGAAACAGAGAAGACCTGTAATTAAGAAAGTATCCACAAAGAGGCACCAGAAGTTACTGGCTAAATGCAGCAGTGTATCTCATACCTTTCATACAAAGTATTACAATATATTTTACCCATTGCATTATGAGTTGATACACCATGTCTGTGTAACACCAAACGAATTTTACCTTTTTATTGTGAAATGATGGTAAAATGTTGCTTTTCTACAAGTAAAATCTCTTACAAACATTTATTTGTCACGTTTTTGTGTCCTTTCTTTGTGTATGGGGTAGGGAGTGTGGGGTTTTTTACCTTCTTGTTTTCTTCTCAGTGGAATTCTTTGCAGTGAACTGTTAGTATCCAAGTGCTCTTTGAATTATGTTTAAAAATCATGTTTTAAATGAAGGGGCAGAAGATTAAATAAGGGGCCTTTGTTAGCACTGCATTAAACCTGTTGTTGGAAAGGAACTTTCCCTGTAGATTAATTGAGATCTGTGCTAGACTAAATGAACATTTGAATGTGATATGGCCAAAGGACTGCATAACTAGAACAAAACAGCTTAACATTAACACTATGTAATTCTGATCTTACAGGCTTATTTGACACTAGAATGTATCAGCATTTAGTTTTTATCATGAAGGGAAGTGGCTATGCCTCTTCAAATCTGTCTTTACCAAGAAACCTTGGAGTGCAGAGAATTCCTGGTTCTGCTGTGGTGCCCAAGGATAGTAGTGTGGAAGAGGCATCAGCAGCACCTGATGCCTTTGTTGACACTCCAATTTTGACTGCTTCTCCTGCACTCAATCTCCTGGCTGTGTTAGTGCAGGCACAGGTAATGTCGTCTTAGCACCATGGTGGCAGAGAGGGGCAAGAAATGTGTGAAAGAAAATCCTTTCTCAACTTACTCTTTTGAAATACATGATTATTGATAAACCAGGATTCTTACAGTGTGTAACTCGTATTTTAATGTAATATTTTATGTAGTGACTATTAAAGATTTTACTCTGAGGCCTCTATGCCATTGATTATATATAAACTTTGTCAACTGCATAACATAATTATGGCAAAGCAGGTTTAAATTAACTTAGATCTTACACACTTACCATTTTGTAGTGCTTAAAGGAATTTGTAACAGTTCTCTCAAAGAGCATAAAGCAAATACTAAACTACATAATTGCTCCATTTCATTGATCACTTCAAAACTTGTATTTGCTGTTCTGAAAATGGCATTTAACAGTATTGATCCAGTGACATTTCCATTGTCGTGAATCAATGGAAACCCATGTAGTAGTAGTTTGAAAATTGTAACAAAGTAGTAATTAAAAGCCGATCTATAGACGTTGGGCAAGGTGTGTTGTATGTTACTAACTCTCTTAGCAAAAGTTGTAAAATTAATCCCAGATTTTTTAACATATTTCATATTTCAACCTCTCTGTTTCCAGGCACTTAATCTGTAAAAAAACCTGATCTGTACAGGATGGTTCTGCAGGGAGCAACACTGAAAACACATAAAAGCATGTCTGAAATTCTAGTCTTAGTTAAATCATAGCCTCTTTTGACCATGCTGTAAGCAAAATCCAGCAGAAGTTTTGTAATTACCTTTATATATTTTAAGTCGCCTTATGTAATTGAATAGAAAAATCCATCCCTGCTATAGGATTTTCTAGAGCCATTCAAGAACTGAAGACATTAAAACCCTTCTCCAGACTGCCTGCCTGTGCTTTTAGGCTGATTGTTGGATAATCCTCCAAGGTTTTTCTTCCTATTTTTATTGTGTAGAGTTTGGTGATTTTTGTTCCACTGAGGGTGGTCTCTCTGTAGATTGAGATTATTACTTTCACATTGAATTTGCTGTGACCATGCTATAGCTTCAGTGAAACTTCATGCTGTGGGTCAGCTTGTGTATGGATGTAATGTTTGGAAAGAGGAATTTATTTATTTTTAGGAAATGAACTGTTAAAATAATTTGTAAATTGAATCTATTCAAAGCATCCTCTGAAAATAAAAACGTTAGTTCAGTGTTACTTAGAGTATTGGCTGTCAGCACGAGCTGAAATCAGTACTGATTTCCTTTTTTTTAAATAAAGCACAGAAATGGGAAACTAGTTTTACAATACACAGGCCGAGTCACCAGGATTCAACAACTCGGAGTTGAATCATGCCTCCAGGACTCTGATACGTTATAGTAATGACAGAAGAAGAAAGTCTGAGTTATCAAATCCTTGTTTCCTGGAGTGAAGACCCAGGCCCTCCATTGCACGTGTTGCTGCCACATCTACAGTGCCTGGTGGAAGCTGAGTGGTAGTAGGAAATGTCAAGTATATCTCTCCTGAGAGGATCACTCAAGACTAAAGGAGGGAATTTCCTATTCACTTTGGTAGAGAAATTATCTCTTGAAAGTAGGAGCTTGTCCTGGACTTTGTAAGGGGATTCGTGAATGTACCTGCCATTGTAATAGCGGTTACTTACCGTAAGTCCTGGAAAGTGAGAGGTGTTGAGCTGCCTTCAGTTCCTGCTTTGGATGGGTTCAAGCTCCCTTCCCAGGGGAAAGCTCTGTGCCTTAGGCCACTGGATATCCCACATGGGAATATTGCCTGGGGAAGCCACATCACAGCAGAGAGCAAGAAGTTCCCGGGACCTGTGGAAACAGGAGCGACGATTTTTTTAGTCATCTTTTAAAGCTAAATAGTAACTAGCAAAAACACAGAAACATCCTGAAACTGAGAAATGGAATGCAGGTTCCTCTCTACCCAGGTGGAAAACCTGTGGGACAACGTAAATGTTGCCTATACTGTATGTTTACTTCTGGCTAACCCTAGGTTCTTCCCCATTCAGGATCTTACGTGTGGTGCCTTTATTGCTCATATTCAGCACCAGGCATGTACAGGCTGGGAATGTTATGAACCACACAGTTAGCAAAGATATGAGTTAAGATTTGACGGGAAGTCAAAATCATGTATGCTTGAGTGCCTCGATTGTGCCTTAGCATTTACAGGTACGACACTGAGACCTCTAACACAGCAATGATGTACTGAGGCTCAATTGCAGCTCTGAATTGAGGGGAGGAAAAGCAGTCTTTTTACTCACCCATTGACAGATGTCACACCTTAAGCTGTTCCTTCAATTAATGTGACTTGCAGGTAGGAAGCTCTCTTTAATTTAGAGCAAATCTGTAGTATAGTGTAAGAATATGTGTAATGTTACGCCAGTAGTACAGCCAACCATCTTTTACAGACTAGCAAAGGAGAATTGAGGAGGATGGAAAAGGTTTCAAGTAAAATGGTTTAGAAGGGAAGTACTCTTGCTGTCCTACTTTATCCCTTGTTCTAAGAATACAGTACATGACTTTTTAATGCAAAGCATATCCCCTAGCTCTCATTCTGCTGCAGGCTTCGAAAGTGCAATTTGCCATGTCCCAGTTCTGTCAGTCATTGTGCTGGGTGCTGTTGGCGCTCTGTCATCCCTGCCTGAGGGTCAGTCCATACTGAAACTAATACAGCCTGAAGTATTGCACAATTATCCTTTTGTGGTGTTAAAATTGCTGGCTTCTTGGCATTATAGTCATGCTTTCTGACTGCACAGTTTAATCACCTGGAAAAATGGGAGGGGAAAGAAAAGGTCAGGAGAACCTCCAGGCAGTTATGACAGGAGGAAAGTCTTTGTTCCTCCAGAATCCCTACAAGTAAAAATGGCAAAGTGTTGTGTCAGTAACGGCACAGACACACCTACGCACAGCTCCTCTCCTGCTTCCTTGAAACGCCATGCTGGAGCAGGTCAAAATGCTGCTGCTTTTGTGCCATACACCCAGCTCTGTCCAGTGCACAGCGGCAGGCTTGGGCCATGACTGCTTCCTTGAGAGCTTGTTCCAGTGCCTCCCTCTTTCCTTCCCTGCTCCTCCCTTTCCTCCTTTCTCCTTTCGTCTTTTGTGTTTCTTCTTTCTTCTTTTTCCCCTGTCAGCCCCTTCTTCCTCCCCACTTTTCCTCCCCTATTTCCCCCTATTCTTCCCTTTTTCCTCCGTTTTTCCCCTTTCTGCCCTTTTTCACAATTTTTCTCCTTTTTTCCCCTGTTTTGCCCTTTTCCCTTTTGCCCTCTTTCCTTTTTAATTTCTTTCTTTTTTTTTTCTATTTCGCCCCTGGTTTTCCCCTTTTTTCCTTTTCTTCCCTTTTCTTTCTCTCCCCCCTCCCCCTTTTTTTTCCCCTTCCGTTTCTTTTTTTTTTTTTTCTCTATTGGGGGGTGTCTCTTTCTTTTTTTCCTTTTTTTTCTTCCCTCCCCCCGCCTTTTTTCATTCTTTCTCTTTATGTTCTCTTCGTTTCCCCCTGTCCGTCTGTCAGTCCGCCG